TGGTTTTTTAATGCTTATTATTTTCAACTCCTTTGCCGCCAGCTAACGGCTGTCTTCAACGTTTTGTCTACTCATTTGTCTCACCTTGCGAACGCTGTCACCTTTTGTCTATAAGTTTTTTGTAAACTCCTTTGTCTAACTTCTAACTATTCGCTTATTTGTCTTCTGCAACATCAAAACCCGCACCTTCAGCCAGTCCCGCTAACTGTCTATCTCGTTCAACTGTTCATTTATCTGCTTGTCTGTCAACTCGGCAGATCTTTGCGCCACAATTGCTTGCCGGTCCGTCTCCCGCTTAGGGGCTTAAGCAGTCGTGTTGAATTTCTTAGCATTTTAACAAGGGGTTCTTCTAATTTGTTGCTAGATTTGTGTATTCAAAGTGAGACTAAAAAGAGAGTGAGCATAAGAGCGCCAGCTAGAGAGAGAGAGAGAAAAAGTGACTCGCCCCCGCTAGGCACCTGAACAGGCCAATAAAATATGCATTCAACTGTTTTGCTGCAGCTTTTCTAGTTTTCACTCCCCTCCCTCACCAACAATTGCTATCACTCGGTATCACAAATGTTTTGTTTTAAGTTGTTAAGCATTGGTGGAAGTGAATTTTCCATTGTATTACTTGGGAGTTGCAACAATTGTTGTTATTGTCCCTACCGCGACAGTTTGTATTTGAGCTGTTTTACAGCGGTGATTATTATTTTGAAATGGTGTTGTTGCTGTTGTTTGTTACCTCATCAGCGGTATTCTTTACCGATTGTCTTTATCCCCTTCGCTTTGTTCGGAAAACAATATTTTCTTTTAGCTGACGGCAGAACTTAAAATATAATAAAACAATAAAATAATTTATGTTGCAAGTGGTTAGGCCATTGTTTCACCGGAACTCCGGGTGTAATATTATCATATAATCTTTTTACGAAAGTAGTATGAATAACCTCTTTAAAAGCACGCAGTGTTCAGGTTCAAGTAGTATTTTGTGTTATAGTTGTAGTTTTTATTTCTACTGAGATAGCTGTTGTTGAAAGGAAAATAGTAGTAGGACCAAGAAACGATCAATCAGGTATTTCTATGCGTGAGACGTAGGAAGCTAAAACTAAAATGAGTTTATAATATTAATGATTGTCCAAAGCGATTTTGTAAAGATATTTAATGAAAATGTTAATAGTTTCTTAATTCTAAGCAGGATCAGTTAGGTTGTGTAATGCTTTTTGGGGTGAGTACGTATATATTTGCATATATTCAGACTCGGAGTACGTGTTAACTTCTACAATTCTGGATCTGAAAAGGTAATTAGTTTGATATGACCTGCCTGTTTTAGAAGGAGTTTCTTACGCTTTAATCAGATTGTCTCTTCCATGCTTAAGAAACTAAGCATTTATTCAGAAGTATATTACTTCTATCAATTTCTGGACCAAGTACTAAATAGTAAACATATTTACAGTTATGTAAAGAGTTTGTATCTAAAAGAACCAAGCAGTACGAAAAGTACGAATTGGTAGGAGAAGAATACTATTTATTTTATAATGCACTGTTCCAGGGGGCACAGTACTTCAAGAACACATAACGTATCTGTTAAAAACTGTCTTGTTTAAACTCAGGACAAAAATACATCTTACATATAATATCTAACGGAGCGTCAGGTATATTGTTGCAGTAATTTCCCACGGTTAAGGAAATTAAAACGTAATATATTACTCCCCTCGAATCGATTCGAATGAGTCTCATTCAAACAAAAAAAGTTAATAGAAGATTTCCTGCATGCGAAAACAGACGATTTATATTTTACTGGTCGATTAGGTGTTTTTTTCTAGTAGTTTTCAACTTTATCCTAAATGTAGACAACGATTTGTTTGTTTTTATTATATTAGCATACATTTAAGATAAAAATAAATTAATATAATTATTTAAAGAGGGCACAAGAGAAAATATGTAAATATTATACAAAAATTAGTTTTCGAATCTATCAATAGATAGTGAATTATGGAATAATGCGTCCCGAATAAATCAACATATTTGTATGTAAATTTCTCAAACCTCTAGATTTTTTAATTTAGTTGAACTCACTGACCCACCTCAGTAACGAATACAAACAAACAAAAAATTACTTTCTTTTTGGAAGTTTAACAACCTATGCCAAGGAGCTGTAGGTGAGCTTTGTAGAATGTTTAAAGGTGAGACTGCTAAGAAAAATTAATATATTTGTGCACTATCCATTTAAATGAGTTTTTAATTAAGGGAACCCAATTTGGTAATAGAACGCTCAAAAATGAAACTAATCGCAAAATATCAACTATCTTAGTAGTTTTTCTATAATTCGGGATTACAGTAATTTCAAATTTTTTTTAAGGATTACGATATATTTGATTATGCCAATTTATTTGGATTATGCTAGTTGTTTATTCGATTCGCCACCCTCTAAGTTTTTGAACAGTAATCAGCGATCAGTTAGGACTTTGTCGGACTTATGCGGACAATTGTAATAATAAGAATCCGATTTAAAGGGATTATGGTAATGAAAAATTTGAATCAAGAAAGACTATATAGCAATTCTGGGTGGATGATGGGTCTGTTAGACTTTGACTGAACATATCTTGGTGAGCTGAATACGAGTTTTGACTGTTTTAGATTAAATAATATAATAAGTTTTTCTCGTAATATTTGAGGTGGAAAAAAGAGTTTATGTTTAACAGCCGCCCAGACACGTCTTCAAATTGCTTGAATATTTATAGATTCCTCAAATAAGAATATGAGCTCAATTGAACTTATTTAGAGCTTATATATAATATTAATTATTTTTTATGAAACCCATAGTAAATAAAAAAAAGAATTTCTTATCTTAGGAGTTAAATTGGAATAATAAATAGGAAATATCTTCTATTTTTGGAAAATTTTCGAAAGTAAAGAATTTTGTGTAAATTATTTTTATTAAATTTTCCAAATATATTTGTTTATCGATGTTTAGATGCTTGTACCGAGCAAACTAAATAACGGTATATTGCATGTTTATCCAATTTTGCATAACTTCGCTGTTTGCATCGATACCGTTAAGCCATGCCCGGAAATACACATGTGTGTAAGTGTGTGTGTATCAAAGTAATTTCGAAATTGTAATCGCCATTAATTGCATTCACTTAAATTTCCATAAACCGAAGTAAATGCACAAAATTTATTAGCCATTGCCAGTATTGCCACATTGTCGGCATTGTGTTGCATCAATGAAAATTACTTTCGACAATTTGCAATTTACCAACATAAGCACAAATGTGGCATGCACTATGCATGTAATGCTTCTATAAACCAGCAAGTTATGCGTTTGCAGTGTGTTATTGTAATTGTATTTGCAGTTGTTGTGGATGTGAGGACCGCTGGCGATTGGCGTTGCTGCGAGTATTTTGATGATTGCCAGTTGATTGTCAAACAACAATCAAATTTTATTTGTCAACGCACCTATACACATGCACACACACACACACATACGTGAGTAGACTAATGAGCACAAAACACTATCGCATGCACACACACGCACACACGCACTTTAAAATGTACTGTTTATAAACCCAATAAGCTTCCGGTGTCACCTGGGTGCCTGAGTATATGTGTATGTTTGTATATATGTGTGTGTTGGTCTTTGTATGGGTTCCAATGCTGGTTGTTGTTGCCGTGCATGCCAGCCAAATTGCCAGTAATTCTAAACTGGGTTAGACCTGCAGCTATGCGCTCGATGTCCAACGGTTGTTTATGCGTATAGCAGTCACACATACTTCTACACACATCCATATGTATGTAGGTAACCACTTTAGCATTAGTGTGTTATACTTGCTTTTGGGCTTTGTTGGATTACCGTTGACGTTCGACTGTTGTACCTCGCGTGTGTCAATAGCAATTGACAATTTCGAAATTAGCGCGCAGGCGTGATGACGTTGAGTGGGGGGTTATACCTTCGTAGCGCCGTTGGCAGATTGTCAAATGCGCACATATATATATGCACGGATATCAATAAAGTTTCGATTACACACTCACACATATACATACATGAATAATATTGTATGTCGATTGATTCCTTCAGTTCATTTGTCCTAATTTTCCGTGTTTTCTGTGTATTAGTTACTAGCTTACGACACTTTATACCATATAGTGTACAATGGAAATTGTGAAAAAGATTAGGCTTTATATAAAATAGATCAAAAATGCATATGGAAGATTAAAACATTCAAATATATTTGAATATCCAGCCTGAAAAATTCGAAACAGATTCTTAAACTATTCTTAATGAGGCTCTGAATGATGAATAAGTTACTTAAAGGAGTTATATCCACTTTTGAATTTAAAAACATCGTGTTTATGTCATCGTGGTCATATATTGAATGTATATACATATATATGTATTTGAAAATGTTCTGCGAAAATTTGAAGTTGATATCGCGAATAGTCTCGAAGATATGAGCGTACTTGTAAAAAAATTGTAATTTAGAGAAATCGGTTCCCAAAACTTTAAACGGGTTTTTCTCGAAAGTCTGATTTTAGAGTCAGTGAGGGAAATTTCTCCTAAACGACTAAACAGATTGACTTGAAATTTTCACACGACTTTCTCAGATATATTTGTCAGTTAATGAGCAAAAGAATAAAATTACTAATATAATTTTGAATTTTTATGACAGTCTGAAATGTAAATTACCTGTTTTAATTTATATCAATAATTTTTGGATTTGGATTTCAGAAAATTTTAAGCAGAAAAATTTTCCTTACCACCAGACACCTTTTTACAGAAGTCTCTGAATGTACGTTATTTTTATTGTTTTTAAATATAAAATGCCTCTTCAATAAAAAAAAAACAGGAAAAAATGTTAACTTCGCTTGCACCGCAATAAAACATTGCCTACATTTAAGGGCGTTGGGTTTCTTATCAAAGACGTAAACCTTTTATCTACCCAAAATACGAATTATGATTGATATCAAAATAGAAATAACTTGAACCTAATTTTGAAGCTTTTTATTTTCTTAATGCTTACCTTGGGATTTCAGTTTTTTTCCAAACTAAATATGCTGTTGTTCTCTGGAAACCAAGAAATACAATTTGATTAGTTTCACATTTTTGGTATTGGCTGTTTAACACTACATTTTTTTATTGATATAAAACAGTTTTAAGAAAACGGTTTGACGTAATGGTAATGAAAAAGAGCAACAGGTTTTACAATAGTTTCATATATCAAAGTTGCCAACAACGGCTCAGTATAGTACTTTCTAGCAAAAAGGGCATGTTATTTGTGTGTACAAAAAACCTCAAAACCGTTAAACAATAGCTTGAGTCTATTTGGATGCTTAAACTAGAATCAAAAATTTAATTGCTTGTTGGATGAAGATGTGACAAAATCTGCGCAATACTTCCTTCTCGCCAGATTGAAGGAAAAATACCTTAGTTTTTATACATTTAGACATCTAGTTGCAGTAGCGGAAATAGAAACCCGCTACCTTGGAGGATCAGCCATTTAACTTAACCTAACTTGATAGTTTCTTAAGCCATACGTAAACTCAGATGATCTTATAGTTTTTGGTATTTACTCTGTCGAAAAGGTTATCAATATCGCAATTTCCACATCAGTTTATAACATCGTAGACTCATGTTCATAGTTCGTAGCTAACCAACGGCTAGACTCTCAGAGAATAGTATAGGTATAACCGTTTATATGTGAAACTCACTACTTGGATGACACGAAGAAACACGTGAATTCCAAGAAAGTTACTACTACTTAAATACTTTTTTTAAATAACACGAGCTCACATATATATTTATTTCAGATGTCTAATGAATTTAATTTTTTAATCCACTTTTCTTAAGACCTCAATATTCACAAGAACTCTAGTCATTCTAACTTGATTATTATTGAAGTAAGAAACATCATCATATACCTTTCAGGACATCTTAGACAATATATAGAAGAAGTAAACAAAATTTAACAATATAAATTTTGTAGTGTTGAAATTTAAGATATGTCAAGTAAATGACACTTCAAGCTGAATTATACATATCAAACTACAACGATGTCACCTATACAAAATGGCTGCCAGAAGCTGTCAAAATTAAAGCACATCATTTGTAACACCCTGTATTTTTTCAAAATCTTCAAACAACTCATTGACACATGCAACTACTCCTTTTTACACTTTTTGGATTGGATTTGCAGCTTACTACTCACTTTAGCACAACATTGTTGTTGTTGCCCTTTGATAAATAATATTTTGTTTTTTCGCTAAAAATGAATAAACTGTTAGCCTTCTGCATATTCATAGCTGTTTGAGCACAAAAATATCTGACAACTTGAGCCTTTCGCAAAATAATCAAACATACAACAAACAACAAGTGGAAGCAACGTGTAAATAACTGCATATGTACTAAATGTATGTGTTGGTGTATTCGAGCAATATTTTCGCTTACGAACAGCAATAATTGAGATAACAATATGCAATAGCAATTCTGCTCGCTGCTAATGCCTCGGTGGAATGCATTGGCAACAAGAACAACAATGACATTAACAAATAGTGCAAGGAAACAAGCGTGCAACATGACATTTTGCTTGCAATGCAACGTGGCATTCGCATTTGTTTGTATTTGCTTGCGCCTTTTTTATGGCAACTCGCCGTTGTTGCAGATTTTCTTTTTAAAATTTAAATTCAGTTGTGGTTGTTGTCTTTCTGCATATGTAATTGAGAGACACGAGCGCAAAAAATATTTCTAAAAAATTTGTTTAACTTTTTTCCACATCAAATTTTCTCTTTAAAGTGCCACTCAAAGTAAATTGCAGTCTATGGGGCATGCAACTCATGCAATAAAATATATAGGCTATATTTTTTTAATATTATTTTTTAATAATGCTTTTTTTTAAGAATTTTTTTTTTTATTTCTTTGTTTTCATTCGCATCTGATAAACTTATTTATTTGCCACACTTTTTCGGTTGTTCCAAATGCTTGCATATTCTATGTGGTTTTCTGGCATTTATTGCTGACATTGATGTGCGCTGATTTGCACAAAATAATGTCAAATGTTCACTCTTTATCGCAGTAGAGCTTTATATTTGAACTTAATGTATTTTTTTATTACTAACTGTTACCTTAATTTTTTCTTAGCTGTGCTTAAATTAATGAAATGATGGTAACTCTACTTTTTCTTCTTAGAGTGTCTAGGGATATTTATATTTTATATGTACAATTCGAGAGAGGAATGCTATTTAATAACGGTTAAAAAGTGGATTTCATCTTGACGCCAAGTAATTTATTTATCCTCAACGGATTGATCGAATTTAAGGCATGAATTTAGAAAAAATATTTGTGGCAGTCAATAACTTGTTAGGTTGGGTTGTGTTATTTCTAGAATTTCAGAATATGTATAAGTACATAAATCTAGTTTATGAAAATATTTCCAAAGCATAACAAAAAACGTTAATGTAGGCCCCAATTAAATTTTTATAGAATAACACAGTGACACTTCATGTGATTGAGCTTAGTCTACTCTACATAAAGTTGCTAACTCTTTATCTGGTTTGAAAAAGCCTTACTTAAGGCGATAAATTGATAAAATGAACGGTTCGATTTTGTGGTAGCTACAAGCTATAGTGGTATGATTTGAAGATGATCGGATATTCTACTGTTGCATTGCACAATAAGCCAAGCCAAGTTTCGTGAAAATATCTTGTCAAATAAAAAAGGTCTTCATACAAGAACTTGATCAGTTTGTATGGCAGCTATTATTAGTAGTCCGAAATGGAGTGGTTCCGATCAAATCGATATCTCAAAAACTGAGAGACTAGTGCACGTATATACAGACAGACAGACGGACACCCAGACAGATAGACAGTCGCATATGGCTTAATCTAATATATATAGTTTATAGGGTCTCCGATGTTTCCTTTTGGGTGTTGTAATCGCCGTAGCAAAATAAATTTACTCGGTTCAGGGTATACATATTTGGCATATTGTAAATATACTTAAGTTTATGCGAAGTTATATATGTCGAATGTGTATTGAGAAATTCAGTTTTTACAAAATATATAATCCAACTAGTAACTGGTAAAAGCTATATATTTTAGATAAAGTTTTCTAATAGGGTTCGTCATATTAAAAAACAATATTAAACATTATTACTAGTTAGCCATGTTGGTAAGAAATAGTAATAGTATATGTTGCAATAGTATATGCAGTTATGTATGAGGAGCGCTTATATTAAATATTAATTAATTTTTTTTGAATTTATTACTATTAAATATCAATCATACTTTTGTAGATTTCGTTTAAATATTAATTGATAAAATTTTCTAATAATATTTATTGCAGTTATTCATTTTGTAAGCGTTATCAATATATTGCATTATTTTTAAAATTTTATGAATTTTCGAGGAAGTTTCAAATGCATTACGGTAATTTCCGAAATTCAAGAAACAATGCCAGCAATTCATGCGCCGAGCTTAATTAATGTTAATACACAGAAATACGCGGATTCCATTACACTCACGTAAAGGCACACACCTACACAAACGTTGGAATATGTGTTGATGCGATTTTATAAGTTAATAACTCATTTCGGTGCATTTTGTGCATTAAATATATGTTTTTTCCATTTAAATTACATTTTGTCGCGCGCATTTGTTAAATTAAGCGAATATTTCGCCATTTTTTTTGCACGTGTTCTCACTTAATAGAAATGCTTGTAATTTGTGTCATAAGTACAGTGAGGTGGTAGTGTTGTTGTTGTTGCTGCTGTGCTCAATATATTCGACAAACTATTTATTTACAAATTATTTGATCTCATAATTAATATGTTAAAAGCTCTGTGCTTTTATTAATATTTGCTTTTAGTAGAGTCATCAATTTCGGGTTGCAAGAGGTCGGGGTCCACCCTAGCGCCTCCTGCCGCCTCTGCTGCCATGGTTATGACAGTGTGTTGTTGTTGTTGTTACTGTTATCGTTGTTGTTGTAGTTTTTGTTTTGGTTGTTGTTGTAGTTTTGTGCATAATTCATAATTTGTATATAAATGTTAATTAAAAACTACAACTAGATATGTTGCAACATAATTCGGTGCGGCAACATTTTAGGCACATAATAAAATTTAGAAGCCAAAAATTGGGTGAACGCATAACGCGAACCGGAGCGTTACATTTGCACTGCACCGTGGCTTTTAGGGTCATTAATTGCTCAGTGGCCCACAAATGAAATATGTATGTAGGTTAGTAATTCGCACACAGGTATATACGTATTTACCTATTCATATATGTGTGTTTGTATGTGAGGCTATGCAATTAAATACGCGCACAACACCAACACACATACATAAATATATTATAATTTAACGCTCGAATGCCACATTGAAATATTTATGGATGTTGAGTGGAAATTTTGGCCGTGTGGCAATATGAATGCAATTATACAAATATTCAAATATGCCACATTGCGGTAGTGGGGGAGAGTTGCTAGTTTGTGTTATGCAAGATCAGCCACATTGAACCGTTGCACGACAGATGAGTGTGCAACATTCACAGCGCTTGAGTGGCATTTCGAATGACGAATTTCCGTTGCGCGGCATAAATATGAAAATATTAGCGTACATGCAGACAGACATAGGTAGTTACAGTATTGTGAAAAATATTTGCATAGTTATAGAAAAGTGCAGCTGACTAAAATAAAATTTATATAGACCCTTGACCCTGACGCAGTCACCGCGGGTTACATAAATTCTTGGAGTTCAACAATTTCTAAACTGGCAACTGGCAAACAATCGAGAATAGTTATTTAAGGTTGGCCAAATTTCTAGTTTATTGTTGTATTAATATTTATATCTAAGAAAAGTCGAAAAGGAAATAAGTCATTTACTAATGCATGTCTCAGAAGCATAGATACATTTTGAGTGCAAAAAGATTCAAGCTTTTTAAACTCATTCCGTGAGTCACTGATCTGTGCAGCGTGCAGGATAAATATTGAACCAGCCGGGTGTTTAATAATTAAAAATTCTTCGCCGAGGAATTTCCCATTAGCTCAAACCTTTCCGAAGTATTCATAATTACATACTC